GAGGAGGGAGGGAGGAAGAGGAGGAGGACTGTGGGGTCCTTGGTGCTCTCCGAGCTTGGTTGCTTTCTAGCAAACATTTCATGACCAAAACTAGGTAATATCATCAGTGCTAGAAGGTAGCAAGGTTTGTAGAGTGAAGGGGGGAGGAAGCCTGTGGGGTCCTTGGTGCTTTCTGACCTTGCAGACATTTCCTTACCCAACTAGGCAGCATAGCATCATCAGTGCTAGCAGGGAGAGGAAGAGGAGGAGGAAAAGGACTGTGGGATCCTTGGTGCTCTCTGAGCTGGGATGTTTTCTTGCAGACGTTTCATTACCCAGCTAGGTAACATCATCGGGGCTAGTAAGGCATGGGATTTGCTCACAGTTTATATTCTAGTACCTTTCCCTCTCAATACTGGTGGGACCAAGGAGCCCCCAAACCAACCCCGAGCTACCAATATTCTCCAGTTTGGCCACTTTGGACTTCCACTCCCAGAATTCCCCAGGAAGGAACTCTTTCCCACCCTCAGCCACTTCTGAACGGAGGGGATTCTGGGAGTGGAAGTCCAGGTGACCAAGCGGGAGAGAAACCCTGATGGAAAAGCAGGAAAAACCAATCCCAACGCCAAAACTAAGAAAAAAGCAGCCTCGACGCCCCACCCCCCCATGGAGGGGGAGGAAGCGGGGTCCCTGAGCCCCCAAAACCGCCCCCCCCGCTCCTCCAAAGTTATGGACCCTCCCAAAAAAGATGCGGGGAAGGGGAGCCTAGGAGACCGAGGGACTCACCTGCCGCCGGCCACAGTTCCTAGACTGGACTGTCCAAGTTGCGGAAGCGGAAGGGGCGGGCCGCGGTCAGAAAGGGGAGGAAAGGAGGGGAGGAGGGAGAGAAAGGAGGTGAGATCTTCTGCGCATGCTCGCCGCTTGCCTTGTAGAGAGATCAGCACTGCCAGCTGTCTGGATCGGGATCGCCGGAGTCGCTCGCTTTCCTCGGCTTTCCCCCTCTCTTTTGGGGAGGGGTCCCCTAGGTTTGGGGTGAGTTGGGGAGGGGGAAACGAGCCTGGAGTTGGACGGGGGGGGGCAGGCAAATAACTCTGAGAGAATAGAATAGAAGCTGGAAGGGACCTTGGAGGTCCTCTAGTCCAGCCCCCTGCTCATTCAGGAGAACCTATAGCAATTGAGATAAGCGGCTTTCTAGTCTCTTCTTAAAAACACCCAGGGATGGAGGGACAGGGGGAAATGGGGCGAGGTGGAAAATGTTGGGAGGGGAAACGGAGCAGCCTCAGTCTCCCCCCGGAGCCTTCCTTTGGACTACAATACCCATCGTGCCCAGGCAAGGAGCTATGCCCAGGTTGAGGGGGAGCCCCTCTGATTGAGACCCTAAAATGTCCTCTGCTGGTTCAACCATAGTTTGTGGGAAAGTATTCGTAAAAATATAGAATAAATATTCTTTTATCTATCCCTTCCTCCCTCTTTCTTTCTTTCTTTCTTTCTTTCTTTTTTTCTTTCTTTTTTTCTTTCTTTCTCTTTCTTTCTTTCTTTCTTTCTTTCTTTCTTTTTTTCTTTCTTTTTTTCTTTCTTTCTTTTTCTTTCTTTCTTTCTTTCTTTCTTTCTTTCTTTCTTTCTTTCTTTCTTTCTTTCTTTCTTTTTCTTTCTTGTTTGCTTGCTTGCTTGCTCTTTCTTTCTTTCTTTCCTTCCTTCCTTCCTTCCTCCCTCCCTCCCTCCCTCCCCCCCCCTCTCTCTCTCTCTCGTATATATGTATATATATTCTTATATACTCTAAGAATATAGTCCTTAGAATGTAGAACATAGAGTAGTAGGGTTGGAAGGGTCCTTGGAGGTTTTCTAATCCAGCCCCCGGCTCCAGCTGGAGACCCTACATCAGTCTGCATAAAGGGCTGTCTCCTCCTGAGAGGGAAGGGTGGAGCGCCCACTCCCTCTGGCATTCAGACAAATCCGCTGTCAACAGGCCCATGGAGCTAAACCGCAATGGCCCACTATTCAAAAGAGAGAATGAAAAAGCTAAGAAGGGAAACAAAAAAAGGAGCAGACACACCTCTCCAGTAACTAACACACACAGATTAGGCGGGGATTAAACAGCAGACCACAGGCAGAAAACAAGAGCGTAACCAAGCAACTGCGAAGGGGAAAACACCCAGCCTTGGCAAGTACATAAATAGGGAGCGAGCCCCACACTCCCCAGCGCTGATGATGTTACTTAGTCGGGTAATGAAATGTCCGCAAGCAAACAACCAAGTTCAGGGAGGACCCCACGGTCCTGAACGACAGATATTCTCTTGTGTTGGGTATTCGCAATGTCAGGATGACCAGGCCTACGCGCCATTGCTACCCGATTCTGATTTCAAATGGGACAGAAAGGAGAGGTGATTAAAAGAGGAGATTGGAGTTGATTTGCAAGGGCTGTATTTATTTTTGAAGATATTTATGCATATTGAAGGGAGAGCCCACTTCCTCTCTCCCGAACCCTTCTGCTGTTTTGGGACCAAGCATCCTTGGCCTTGAAAAATTGACACACACACACACAGCCTTGAATTACATTGTGGAAACTCTAGTACAGGGGTCTGCAACCTTAAACACTCAAAAGAGCCACTTGGGCCCGTTTCCCACAGAAAACAAAACCTGGGTGGGTGTGGCCAACTCAACGTCACTCACTCCCACCCAGTCATATGGCAACACACCCCCCCCACAGTCATGCCTACCTAGGTTTTGTAGCTCCCCGTATTTTCTTTTCTGTGGGAAATAATTATCTCCCTCCCTCCCTCTCATCTCTCTTTCTCCCTCTCTCTCATCTCTTTTTCTCTATGTGCAAGGGTCTTCAAACTTGGCAAGTTTAAGACTTGTGGACTTGCAACTCCCAGAATCCCTGAGCTAACATGACTGGAGGAGGAATTCTGGGAGCTGAAGTCCACAAGTCTTTAAAGCAGTCAAGTTTGAAGACACACACACACCCTTAGTTCTAGTGGCTACTTTTCACTCGGTTAAACCTAAACCAGAACATTTCACAAAATTACCACGCCCCGGAACTCTTAGGAAATAGAGAGGTTCTCATGCCTCAGCGTACTTTCATGTAGATGTATGTGGGAGGATGTGGGTGGATGATTATGGGATGATTAATTAATGAGTCACTTTCAGAAACCAGTCCAGAAAATCTCAGACAGCATTTCTTGGCTAGCTCTGATTTCTCTCCGGCATTTTCCTTCAAATCAAGCCAGATGGGGACCTTCACTGGACATTACGAATTCTACGTAGGTGTGAGTTTGGCTATCACCTCCAGCCTGTTTATTGGAAGTAGTTTTATCCTCAAGAAGAAAGGACTTCTCCGACTAAACGACCGAGGGGCCGTCAGAGCAGGTAAGGGTAGATCTGGAGCCGGTCATGAGAATGAGAAACGCAGAATTTAAATATCGTTGGGAGTTGTAGTCCTCTTGGGCTAAGAGAATTGTTCTGAAGAATTGGGAAAGCGTGATCCGTGACATTAGGGGCAGGATTGAAGACGGTGTAATTAATCTGTTTTGAAAAAAAATGGATATATCTGCTTATCAAAAAAATGATCCAGCGTGTCATCTGAAGAAGCTTCTTGGATAGATAGATGAAAAAAAGAGAAAGAAAGAAAGAAAGAAAGAAAGAAAGAAAGAAAGAGAGAAAGAGAGAAAGAAAGAAAGAAAGAAAGAAAGAAAGAAAGAATAGAATAGAATAGAATAGAATAGAATAGAATAGAATAGAATAG